CACACACACATACACACACACACACACACACAGAGAGAGAGAGAGAGAGAGAGAGAGAGAGAGAGAGAGAGAGAGAGAGAGAGAGAGAGAGAGAGAGAGAGAGAGAGAGAGAGAGAGAGAGAGAGAGAGAGAGAGATTCAGCCAGCCGGCCATAAAAGAACACTCTCCAGATTCCTCCCTCAGAATAACGAAAACAAACGTCTAATGAATAAATAAATAAGTAGATAAAAAGTACAAACGAACAGGGGAATGAAGGAATAGAGATAATCACATTCACATCAAAGAGTTCAATCCCATTTCTCGGCTTTCCAACTGGTCGCGCAGAAAAGGAAAAATATTCTTTGAATTAGAAAAGGCAAAGCCGAATTAATAAACAAGTAAATATATATATATATATATATATATATATATATATATATATATATATATATATATATATATATATATATATATATATATACATATATATATATATATATATATATATATATATATATATATATATATATATATATATATACATATATATATATATATATATATATATATATATATATATATATATATATATATATATATATATATATATATATAATATCTATCTATATCTATATATATATATATATACATATATATATATATATATATATATATATATATATATATATATATATATATACATATATATATATATATATATATATATATATATATATATATATATATATATATATATATATATTTATATATATATATATATATATATATATATATATATATATATATATAATATATATATATATATATATATATATATATATATATATATATATATATATATATATATATATATATATATATATATATATATATATATATATATATATATATATATAGATAGATAGATAGATAGATAGATAGATAGATATATAGATAGATAGATAGATAGATTAACGAATAAACATATAAATAAGTGAATAGATAAATAAATACTTGAATGAACATATACATCAATAGATAGATAGATAGATAAATAAAGACATAAATATATAAATAACTAATTAAGAAAAACGAAAAGTTAAACAGTAATAAAACCCCCGAAGCGGAGTAGCAGAGGCGCCTCCCGCACATAAGCAGTTAGCAGTAATGCGTGGAGCTGCATTAATCACCTGCGGCCTCACCTGCCTCCGCGTTTGGTTTGCGTGAATGGAATCATGAGCGGTCTCGCCAAGGAGGTGGGGGGGCATTAATTTCGTTATTCTAATTATTTCCTTTTTTATTTTATTTTTTGTTGTTGTTGTTGCTGCTGTTGTTATTCGTCTTTAGTAATGTTATTGATATTTATTTTCTTTTTAATTTTATTTTCATCTAGTTTATTCGCTCTATTTTTTTCTTTTTTTTCACTGCATCCTTTCTCCTCTATTTCATTCTCGATTTGTATTTTCTATCAAACAATCTCTGTATGTGCATTTTGTATATGTGTGGGAGTTTGTGTGTGTGTGTGTGTGTGTGTGTGTGTGTGTGTGTGTGTGTGTGTGTGTGTGTGTGTGTGTGTGTGTGTGTGTGTGTGTGTGTGTGTGTGTGCCGCACCTGTGTGTATATTTAAATAATATACCTTCACATCACTATCTTAAAGTGTAATAATAATGATAATAATAACAATAATAGTAATGAGAATGGTAGATAATTAAACACAAGTCTACCGTTCACAGTATCTATAACTTTCCTGTTGTTTCCTTATCACCACTTTTCTTCCATCTCCCATTTTCCTGACTCCCCGCTGAGCTCGTGCCCTAAAAAACAGCCATTCATTTCTTCCGAATTCTTTGTTGGAGCGAAGGAAACGAAAACCTTTTCAGCGAAAGAAAACGGCCATGACAGCGCTTCATAGAAAACGGAGGTTGCGCGGCGAATAACAAATCGTCGACTTTCAATAGCACGGGATTTAATAAACACGGAATGATAAAATGAATGAGTGAAAAATATAGAAAAAGAGAGAGAGAAAAATCAGTTGGTATGAGTAAAAATGGAACACGAAATGGATATCAAAACTGCGTAACAGATCTATGATGATTTGCAAGCTAAGAAATGACACTATTGATTGAACTCACAGATTGAAATAAAGATAAAGCCTATGGAAAGTAATTCAACAGAGTTAAATAAACCAAAGATAAAAATAAAGTTCAGATGAAAGTACCAACAAACCGAAAGAAAGTAACAACACTCACTAGGGTTCGGTTTTGGGCCGGTAGCCCCCGCCGGTCTCCATGTCCTTGTCTTTGCCGGACTTTTCGTAGAGGTCTTTCTTCTTGTCCTTCTCTGCGCCGTCGCCAGAGGGCGGCCCTTCATCGGCCTCGTTCTTTAGCTTCTTGTGCTTCTTGTTCTTGGCATTCGGCCCCTTGGTGAAGCCGCTGCCTGCGGGGGGAGAGGGGGCGCTTAGGGGCGGGGAGAGGCGATGGCGGCCGCGGGGGGCAGAGGGGGGTTATATCTATATCTATATCTATTATCAATAATATTATTATTATCTAATGCCACTACAACTAACAATAATAATGCAGTACAAAAGGAGCAAGCAAATCCAAGCAAATCAATCCAAAAATAAAGCAAGTCAAGGCTAGCCAAATCAAGTCAACTCAACCAAAAGCAAGCCAACTCAAGCAGAAGCAAGCCAACTCATCCAATTACAAACCAACTCATCAAAAGTAAGCCATCTCAATAAAGCAAGCCAACCCATTCAATTACAAACCAACTCAACCAAAAGCAAACCAACTCAACAAGAAGCAAGCCGATACAAGCCAGATCATGCCAACTCAACAATAAGCAAGCCAGCTCAATCAAAAGCAAGCCAACTCAATCAACTGTAAAACATCTCAATCAGAAGCAATCCAACTCAACCAGAAGCAAGCAAACTCAACCAATAGCAAGCCAACTCAACCAGAAGCAAGCCGATGCAAGCCAAATCATGCCAACTCAACAATAAACAAGCTAACTCAACCAAAAGCAAGCCGAAGCAAGTCAAATCAAGACAACTCAACCAAAAACAAGCTCATGCAAGCCAAAGCAAGTCAACTCAACCAAAAAAACAAGCTGATGCAAGTCAAAGCAAGTCAACTCAACCAGAAGCAAGCCGATGCAAGCCAAAGTAAGCCAACCAAACCAAAAAAGAAGCTGATGCAAGCCAAAGCAAGTCAACTCAACCAGAAGCAAGTCAAACGTACCGGAAGGCTTGGTGCTGACCCCGGAGGCGGCGGGGGGCGCGGGGGGCGGCGGGGGGTTGCCGGTCCCGTGGGAGGAGCCGGGGAGGTGCCCGTCCAGGGAGTCGCGCTCAGGGTGGTCCGGGTACGCTGTGGGCACGAGGGGGGGGGGTGAGTCAGGGGGTGAACAACAGGGTTAAGATGGATAAGGCACATGAGTGAGTAGGTGAGTAAGATGGGTGAGATGGTAAAAGCGGGCAATAAGGAGAGTGAGTGAAGGAATAATGGGTGAAATGAGTAAATGAATGAAATAATCAATAACTGCGTACTTAGATGAGGAGGTGGATGGGTAGAGGAGTCTATGAATCAGAGGATGACGCTGATGAGTCATCCGGGTAAAGACAACACTTGGAATTATATTTGAATAAGGGTTAATGAGGAAGCAAAGTACATAAGGAGTAGTTATGAGTAATACGACACATGATTAAAGTGAGTACTTCCCCCCTCCCGCCCCCCCCCCCCCCTAAAAAATACACACACACACACACACACACACACACACACACACACACACACACACACACACACACACACACACACACACACATACACACACACACGCACACACACACGCTCACATATACATATATGTTGCTGACAATACACAAAATCGACATACTAATGAACATATGAGTAAATGGGTGACAGATGAGTAAGCAAGATAAGAAGTAAACGAATATGATACACGAACAATGAGTAAATATATGAACTATTAGTATAAATATAAATAAATTTGTAATAAATGCAAATTGATGAAGATGGAAACACAAAATCACGCACATTAATATGTAATTAAACAGATAAACAAACAAACAAGCCATTAGTTAAATAAATAATGGAGTGAATAGATAAATCCTCAAGGAAAGACATAAATAAACACACAAAGAATTTAGAAATAATATCTAAATATGCATATATATATATACAGATATAAAAAATATAGAAATATACAAAATAAATGAAAAAATTAAAATGCTGGCAACATACACACACGCATATAAATACAATCCTTAACAAACATCACAGCAAATGCCTCAAAATGTACATACTAATATAGATGACAAATGACAAGCGCCATTAACACCAACTTCAAAATCCTCAACAAAAATAAATTTCTTGTTGAAACTCCGCTTCAATGACAAACTAAAAACAATGTTATGTACTTAGTTTTTATCGTTATCTCTGCCTGGCTATCTATCTATCTATCTGTATATTCTCTCTATCTTATTTTATTTATCTATTTATTGCTTCTTCTGTGTCCTTTTATCGTCAGTCTGTCGAATATTTTCGTTTGCATCGCCTTCCCTTTCTCCTTCTTCAGCTTTTCCCTTCCTCTTTCTTTTCTCCTTCCTTTCCCCTTCCTCTCGTTTTTCCCTATTTTCTCTTTATCTCCTCCTCGTCCTCTTCCTTATTCTTTTTCCTCTTCCTCCTTCCATCTTATTCCCTTACGCCTTGGGAATATAATCTTTTCTTTTTCTCCACCCCTTCTCTCCTCCTTCCCTCCTTCAAGCATGTCTCTTCCTCCTTCTTCTACCCGTTACTCCTTCCTCATCTTTATCCTCCTTCTTATCTACTTCTTCCTTCTTTTTTCACCTTCCTCTCTCTATATTCTTCTATGTTCTCCGTCTCCCACTTTTCACTCTAATTCCTCATCTTTCGCAATTCCTTATCACCTATCGTTCTCATTCGCATTCTCATCTTAATTTCCCTCTTCCTCCTCCTCCCTCTCCTCGTCCTTTATTCCCTCCCCTCTCCCTTCCGATGAGAGACGGAAGGGAATCCCAGAGGCTGTTCCCTAAACGAGACGCGGACGAGCGGAACGAGACCCGGGTTTATGGAAGGGACGCGAGCGTGACGGAGACGGGAGAGAGGGAGAGGGAAAGGGAGAGAACAGAGGAAAGGGAGAGGGAAAAGGGGAGAAAGGAGGAGAGGGAGAGGGAAAGGGAGAGAGAGGAGGGAAAGGGAGAGAGCAGAGGAGAGGGAGAGGGAAAAGGGAAGAGAGGAGGAGAGGGAGAGGGAAAGGGAGAGAGAGGAGGAGAGGGATGAAGAGAGAGAGGTAGAAGAGGGATGGAGAGAGAGGGGGAGAGAGAGAGAAAGAGGGATTAAGAGAAGCAGAGAGGAAGGGAAAGGAAGGAGTGGGGGAGAGGGTGAGAGAGGGAGTGGGAAATAGAGAGAGATGAAAGGAGGTAGGGGGAAAGGAAGGGAGGAAGAGCGAGAGAGAGAGAGAGAGAGAGAGGGAGAGAGAGAGAGAGAGAGAGAGAGAGAGAGAGAGAGAGAGAGAGAGAGAGAGAGAGAGAGAGAGAGAGAGAGAGAGAGAGAGAGAGAGAGAGAGAGAGAGAGAGAGAGAGAGAGAGAGAGAGAGAGAGAGAGAGAGAGAGAGAGAGAGAGAGAGAGAGAGAGAGAGAAGAGGAGGGAAGAGAAGAGAAAAGAAGAGTAGAGAAGAGAAGAAAAATGACAGACGGAGGAGTAAAATAGCTAGAAAGAAAGCCAAATTGATCGATAGTAAAGAAAGAAAGAAAAAACACAAGGAAAAATAAAGAAAAGAAAAGTGAAATCAAACACCGACGTCCGATAGAAAAAACAAACAAAACGGAACAGAACAAAAACAAAACAAAAAAATTAAACAATCAGAGACACGCCCCCTTTCGCCACGCCCATTTGAGCGTGGCAAAACACCCATTATTACCTACCCCAATATCCCATTACCCCTCCCCTCCCTCATCACCTCTCTGCCTTCCTTGTCCCTACGCCACTTATTCTTCTCCTCCCGTATTCCTTCTTTATCATCTTATCTCCTCTCTTCCATACGTCTAAGCGCTGTTAATCCCTCTCCCCACTTCCCTATTCTCTGCCTCATACCTTCTACCCCCATTTCCTACCCCATATCTCTGCCCTCCTACTCTACCCATACCCCCCCTCCCCTCCCATATTTCCTCCCCATACAGCCACGCCCCTAGAAAAGTTCGTCCCCCCTAGAAAATACACCCCCTAAAAATAACGAAATCAAAACAATAATATAACGACCCCTAAAAAAAACATAAAATAACGACCCCCTAAAAAAACATAAAATAACGACCCCCCAGAAAAGCAACCCCATAATATGACGACCCTCTAGAACAAATAACGACTCCAATGGGAAAAAAAAGAAAAGAAAAGAAAAGAAAAGAAAAAAAGGTAATAACAAATCGACTAACCGGATGTGAGCCCTTACTACGTCGGTCCAATGACCCGCTTAACCGAACTCGTAATAAGGTATTCCGTTAAACGAGCACGGGCGCTCTCCTCGGAGACAGCAGCAACAACAACAACAGTGACAACGACAACGGCAGCGAAAGATAAATCGCGTGCTTCGATTACAGTGAAGATGATGATGATGATGATGATGATGATGATGATGATGATGATGATGATGATGATGATGATGATGATGATGATGATGATGAAGATGATGAGGATAATAATAATAATAATAATGATAATAATAATAATAATAATAATAATAATAATGATGATGATGATAATAATAATAACAGTAATAATGATATAATAATCTTAACAATAATAACAATAATAGTAATATTAATAACAACAATGATGATAATGATAAAGGTAATTATAATGATTATATCAATAATATCAATAACAAAAAAATAACAGTAGAACAAGAACAATAATAACATTAATACTAATAATGATGATAATAATAATAATAATAACAGTAATAATAAGGATATTAACAATACTGAAGAAGGTAATGATAATAATGACAATAATAACGAAAAAAAAAATAATTACAAAAGTAATAGAAAGTCACTAGTAATAAAATTGATGATAATGCCTTCACTATCGCTACTCTTACTAATACTGACAACATAACAAAACAGTGATAATAAGGATAAGATTAATATGATAATTATAACACCAACATAATGCGAATGCTGGCAGCAATAAGTCTCCGTAGGATTCAAAACGTTATCTGTTTATGACCCCATAAATAATTCTATTACTTTCTCTTCGTTTGTATGTCTCTATTACGCCAATAGTGTGTGTCCTAAAACCACAAATTAAGTGTGTGAAAGCTTTAGGAAATGTCAGCCACTTTATGTCGGTCATTTAACATTTAAAGTGTCGGCAAGAATGCCAGAGAGAATGTTGGGGAAAATACTTTTTACTCCATTTATGCGTCTGCGCGCGACCACTTACGGCAAGGAACGTGTTGGTGGAGAGAGATATAGTGTTGTGTAGT